CAAGCTCTCTTCAAATTCACTTGTAAGCATAATTGATGTTTTTGGCAGATAATAATATAGGTTTATCCCTACAGCATTGGTTGTCTTGAGTCATATCTTTTCAGAGATTGCATTACAATGGTTTGGGCTTGGTTTCCCATTCTGCTAATTTTCAAGTTCTCATGAAATTCAATTGTAAGCATAATTAATATCTTTGATAATAACAGACTTATTCCTGCAACTTTGAGTATCTTGACTCATATCTTTTGAAGGACTGCCTTATAAGGACTTCCTGAAAACTGATGTCCCAGTTTGAATTTTCAGTGATTTTTATGTAAGCACTTTCACATGAATGTAGCTTTTAGAAGGATTGACTTTATCAGGCTCCTATGCATACAATTATGCATTGCTGTAGACATTCACCTAGTATTTTATGTTAGTTTTTCCTTCAAGCCCATTTTAATATACCTTGAGTTCTGAACAACATCTCCCTCTTTTTCCACAGATCCCGTTTTATTGCCAAGTCCATGGGCAATTGTTTTCTTACCCCAAGGGCTCTCAAAGCTCAACTCTACCTGAAAAATATGATGTTATTCTCTGGCCTGGACATTTGTGTTCCAGCTCTGATATTTGACAGTGATATTGTAGTTTAGAATTCAGAACAGTGGGTTAAGGTGTCCAAAACAAATGGTTTCAATGGAGAAAATAGTCCAGCTTTAAGGAGTTTCACTCATTCAATCATCTTTCTTATAAACGTTCCTGCTTTCTGTTAGCAGGATCAAACAAGGGTCACAGAGCAGTATGGTGGAATGGGCAGGGACTGGCTCTGTGACCTCAGCTAGTGCAGACAGCGTTTCTACTGGGGGCTGTGGAAGATGTGTATGACATTTTCAATTGTCACAATGGCAAAGGACATTGCTGGCATGTATGTAGGAGGTAGGGGCTGAGGTTCATATCTGCCATCCCACAATGCATAGGCCAGTCGCAGGTAACAAAGCCTTGTCCTGTTAGGAGTGCAGGTAATTCCTCCTATTTCAGTTTGCAGCACTGTGAACATGAACAAGTTGCATTTTCCTCATCTTTAAAGTTGGAATAAAACTATTTAAAAATACACATGAGCTCATTTGGAACATTGCTGATCATGTATGTAAATCCATGCACAAGGCTTAGATGCATCCTAGGAACTAGCAAAGAATCTGGCACAGTTTTTAACCCTCCAGTGGCTTTCTAGCCCACTCAGCGTAAAACCCAGGGTTCTCACAGTGGCCTATAGGGACCTGCCTGGTCTGACCTCCTGCTGCCCTCTGATCCCACCCCCATGCAGGTTGTCTCCTGAGCCTGCTCCATCGCACTGGCCTCCTTGCTGTCCCTCAGGGTCCCTGACAGATCTGCCCTGCTCTGGATCTCTGTACTTACTCTGTCTTCTGTGTGGAAGGGGCTTCCCCTACGTACATCCGCGTGGCTCTCTCCCTCCCTCCCTCCTCTTCTCTGCTCACCTCATCTGCCGAGGCTTTCTTGGTGTGTGATAGAAAAATCATGTGGCTTCTCCACAGCCACCCCTTCCCCTCTGCGCTTGCTCTTTCCCTGATATCAGCCGACATATTCAGTGTTTTCTTTCCTTATCCTTTGTTTCTTCCAAGTGATTCTCCCATCACTTTTAGTTGAGGGAAACATGGCCCTTTTATTTTTGTATAAGACTGCTTGAAGGGGGACCATCGTGTGATGATCTGTGAGTATGTGTTTGGAAACCTGTTGCAAATCTCTAAGGGACCATCAATAAAATTATCTGTAGCACATTAGAATTACTGACTTTTCCTGTCTGCTGGGAGGAGGTGTAATCTTTCTCTGGCTGGACTATAGGTCTTTGCTGTTTCTGTTAATACGAACGTGGGCTTGGGAAATGCTTCAAAAGACTATGTTATAAAAAGGAGTACTGGCTTGGTGTTTTGGAAGTAGAAGAGTACTCAGTGGTGTGAGATGCTTATTTAAAAGATAGGGATTTATATGCAAAATTGCCTTTGTGCTTTTGACAGGTGCAGCCATTTCTCTGAAAGCTTTCGCTTTGCATCCTGAAAAGTTTGTCTTTAGTTTAGTGGCTCAAAAATAGACAGGACTTGTACCCGCTCTGTATGCACAACAGAAATTGTGTAGGGAGATATATGAGAAAGGTTTTCTTTGTTCTAAGTTAATGCGTCTTTAGTCTAACCTTTTCCCTGCCTTGAATCACCTAAAATAGCTCCTGTGATACGCAGTGTACCCAGGTGGGATAAGATTTTTACTGCACATTAACAGCTTCCCCTCATGTTTTCCCTCCGCTGGGGACGTCCTAAAGATACTTAAGACAGTCTCTTTCCGCAGGTAATTCCTGGCCAAGAAAGCCTTTAAAGGTGCCGAGAAGGTCGGGCAGGGCATTTGAGGTTTTGCAGTTGCTTTCTAATGTAGGAACTGGTTAAGAGCTCTGTGTGAGCGGCTTACTTTGGGCTCCATTAAGTGCAATTATGTGAAGAAGTGAATTACCTTCCCTTCTGGTTGGTGTGGGGTGATGGGCTTGTTTATTGCACAGTGCTTGGTTTGCAAAACTTGGGTCTGTAGTTTGCATGGCAGATAATAAATATTCTGATTAAAGGAATCAAGAAAATGTGTGTCTGTTTGGCAAGTGATGAATAGCAGCTGAGTCAAGTAATGATTGATGGCACCCTGTCATCAGAGAAGCTTGTGCCTCTAGTCTTTAGACTATGGCACTTGTCTAGCTCGAACCATGATCAGATCCTCTCAACACGCCCAACTTATGTCCCTCTTCTGCTCCAGCCCGATTGTTTGCAAGTCATCTAATCTGTTGCCCCCATTTCTCCTTCCCCCTTCCCTTCCGGACCTATTTCACTCAGGCTTTCTACCTTCTAATGCCACCAACGCAAATCACACCGAGGTTAGCAACGATCTCTCTTGTACCATGTCTGTGGGCCCAGGCCTGATGGTTACCGACCTGTTGAAGCTGGTGACACTCTTGACCACTTCCTCTATAAAACGCCCTTCCTTTGTCTTCTCTGCTTCGAGTGCTATTTGTTACAAGATGATGCCACAGTTTTCCCACCTCTACGCCCTCTGTTTTTTTAAATTTTAATTCTCCTTTGCAAGTTTATCCTGCTCGAACAGACCATTAAGTGCTAGAGCTCCTTAAAGCTCATTCCACCTTTTCAGATTTATCCTCTTCTTCATCTTCTTCTTATCCTGTTCATCTTCATGCCTCCAGTTATGACCTGCATGCCATGCTCTCCAAAGTCTTTCTCTAGACTTGACCTCACCCCACCTCACCCCGTCCTCAGCCCCATGGTCACGCACGTGCCCAGCTGCCAACCAGGCTTCTCTGCTTTAACTTCTCAAACACAAAGAGCCAGCCAGCACTGAGCTCAGAGTGTCCTTTAAAATCTGGTCGTCTGAGTTCCAGGCCCTAGAACTCTTCAAAGGGGCTGGACTTGGCCCTGGCATTTCCCTCTCTCTCATTCTCTTTGTTGAGTTCTGTCAACCTGAAGAACATAGCTCTGTTCTGTACAGTCAGTCACTTTCAACTAACCGACACATAGCTGCAGGATTCCCTGTAAACTATGCGGTAGAGAAAACCTCCAGCTGCAGAGGAATGAAGACAGAGGAAATTGTTTTCCTGACTTACTCCTTAGGAATCAAGCCAGAAATCAAACCCAAAGATAAGAACATCCCATATGTTTTAAAAATCAAACACTCTACTTCCCCAAACTCCTCTATGTCCAGAAGAACTCAAAATGGAATGTAGGACATATTTTTTTATGAATGGTGATGAAAACAGGACATCACATTTACACTCAGGGAGACCTTGTGAATCTGTGTCTCTGAAAATGCCAATACCCATCTTAATAGCGTATGTTGTTGTGATTTTCCAACCTTTTTCTTCTTCCGTGTTTCTTATTCAGGGAGTGGTTGTGGTCCTGGTTCAATCAGAAACTTTTGGGCTGGCACTTCAAAGGGTTGTTCTTTTCCATTTGGCCCATTGGTGGCAGCTAGCTGGGGAGAGTGTCTGGTTTAAAACCATAATAATTGAAACTTGCATTAGGCTCCTTGGCTTGGGGCCACTTCCTGTAAAGACCTTGTCCTGCCCTTGGTGGTTTGAAGAAGAAGAAGGCTCATTTTCCTTCAATAAATAAAAGCTGGGGAGCAGAGGTTTCTTCATTTTTAAGGAGATTCTGTTTCTAGTGCTGGTGGGTATGGAGAATAGAGAACCCTTGGACACTGTTGGTGGGAATATACATTGGTATAGTGATTATGGAAAACTGTGAGGAGTTTCCTTAAAATATTAAAAAGCAGATTCACTATATAACCCAGCTATCATGCACCCCAAGGAAATGAAATCAGTACCTCAAAGTGCTCTCTGCACTCCTTGGCTCATTGCAGACTTATTTGCAATAGCCAAGATGTAGGAGCCACCTAAGTGCCCACTGAGGGATGAACAGATGGAGAAGATGTGGTCCAGACACAGGGTGGGCCAAAGTAGGTGTCCAGGTGCTCATATGGAAGACAATAGATTAATAAATAAATAATAATAATGCAAGAATAAACTTTGCACTTTGCATGCTCACAACCAGACCCATACTTTTGTCCACCCTCATATAGACCGTGGAATATTATTTAGCAATCAAAAGAAGATGCTTCCCTTTGCAACAGCGTGGCTCAACCCAGAGGACGTGATACTGAGGGAAGTAAACCGGAGATACGAAAGCGCTCTTTTTATGAAGCCTGGTTTTCATGTGTCAGCCAAGAACTTCATTAATTGCTGGAACTTTTCTATAACTACTTTAATTTTTATAAGCATCTTTAAAAATTCTGTTCTTTAAGTAGGCTTTTCCTGATATTCGTAGGCACTGCTGATCGAATGTTTTCATCTTGATCACTTGTGGGAAAAGTGTACAATTTCTGAGTCATGTTTTCCACTTCGATGGGCCTGACCACACACAGCAGTTTCACATTCTTTCTCCTTGTGTTCTGTTTTCTAGGAGTTGCGGGAGTCTCCAGGGGAGGCGGTGTCTTTTGTAGAGCGACTTCTGGAGTCTTCATGCAGCCATGGATCTGGATAAACCGTCCGTCTGGGGCTCCTTCAAACAGCGGACCAGGCCTCTGTTGCTCAACCTGAGCAAGAAGAAGGGGAAAAAGACCTCCAACAAGCCCCTCGGCTTAAGGGAAAGGCATCACCTGGACCGCCGCCTCAGCCTGTCCGTCCCTGACCTCCTGGAGGCCAAGGCCTTGGCCCCGGAGGGTCGGCCTTACTCCGGGGCCCAGTCATCCTACACCTCCGTGCCCAGCAGCTTGTCCACTGCTGGGGTCTTTCCTAAGAGTAGCAGTAGCTCCTTGAAACAGTCTGAAGAAGACTGGGACTGGAGCCAGGAAGAAGCGGGCCATGTCCGTGGGGCGGAGACAGACCCCGAGGACACCTTCGCCTCTCCCGCCGAGGACCGGAGGGCTTCCAGCAACGGCATCTTCGACCTGCTCCAGAAGACTCCGCTGGCAGAGGACGCTCTGGAGGAGTCGGAGGTGAGGCCAAGCCTGGGCACGGCCCTGTGGCCTGTTCTCTTCTTTTTTAATTGCTTTGAGTGCCCTTGGAAGATGAAATTAGGAGTTATTTTCGTGGTTAGCTTGGATGGAGAGGATGTCATTTTCAAGAATTTAAACAAAGGGAGTATCGATTGCTCCGAGTGTTCCCATCAGTTTTGGGTTGACCTCTATGTATTTTAAAACTATTACAATGAACCTTTCCAGGATACTTTAAGGCATTAAAAGCCCTATTGGATAAGTTTTCCTTTTTTTCTCTTCTGGCAAAGAAAGTAAGAGCTTAACTTTTCCTCTAAATTTGCTTAAGTATGTGTCTGCCTCTCTGTAGCTATTTCTATTTGACCAGCCTTACCATAGGCTAAACATGCTTTTAGTACCAGCCCTAAGACATGTATGAGTATATTGACTTCCAAAGAATTTGAACTTCCTTCTACTTCATACATGCACACACGCCTGCATACTCATTCATGTGCCTGTGTGTACTTATCTGTGGCCAACTTCACTTGCATTTTCTAAAAAAAGAAAACTAAAGGAAACAAATTCTTATCAATTCGGTGATTTTACAAAGCTTGCGCATGTATTTCAATGAGCCAAAAGAGCCAAATATAACTATAAGGCAAATCTTATATCTCTCAGAGGAGTTTAGTTTACATTCAGTCACCAGAGTATTAAGCCATGATTCGATGATCTATTTAATCAAATTTTTAAAGCATTCCTCCATTAATGGCATTGAAATAGGTTGGAATGTTGAGGAAAGGGATTGGTTTTCCTACATTATATCCCAAGTTAGTGGCATAGAATGCTGGTTATGCAGCTGGGATTATTAGTTTTGCTTTTGAAACCAAAGCCTATTACTAATGTCATATATTTCAGCTTAATTGGGGACAGGCGTTGTGACTCCCCAGAGGATGCATGCCATGCACAGATTCTGTTGGAAGCTTTACTGTGTTAAGACACCACCACCCAGGAAATGACCTTACTTACCTATTTTTCATTGCCATTAACATTTATGAAATCCCTTCTGTAGCAATTTTATGATGTTCCTGTGTTTATAAATTGGAACTATGTGTTTCCACCAATCCAAATATAAATTCAGTGAATTATTAAACTAGTTCAGTATGAAGGAGGTAACATGTTGAAGAACTGACCTATGTTAATCTCCACTTCTTTTTACTTATTAGCTAATGAGGACACATTAATGGGCTTCTTGGCTTTGAGATACTAACAATCTCAAATTGGAAGACAGAGTTGGTGATCGAAAAAAGTTGAGCATCAGAAGAAGGCGTGTATTTTTCTGTGTCCACTGTACCCTTTTAAAAGTCGGGATAATTACAGTGATCACATAGGCTTCTTACTGTCAATACCTAATAATCCTGATTGGAAGGAGTATTAGCCCCTGATCATCCACGTCATCACACCACGGGGTGCATCCTCCCCTAATGTTTTATCTGGCAGCTGGCATTTTAAACAACTACCTCTGGTGCCTGCTTATGTGGGTGAGTTGAATGGGTTAGAAAGGAATCCTATTGGGATATTTCTAGAAGCTGCTTGGCAACCACAGAGCTTCAGTTTAGGGACCACAGAGAAGCAAAATGACCAACCACAGAGAAGAGACAACCTGCTGCTCCCCAAATTAAACTAGTACGTCAGGTGCTCCCTACATCAATTACGGTATGTGTTCCTCTGTTTTCTCTCAGAAAGTCATCACTGACCATCACGGTGTAATCGGGACACATGTGTTAGCCGTATTCCAGGTTCCTGTGAGGATTTGGCCTCATTTTCCTTCTTCCCTCCCTCTTGCCTATCTGTTGAGCACCTCCTGTGCACTGATCCTGTTCTAGGCCTCAGAAACACAGCAGTCTCCAAAGCAGACAGAAATCCACTTCCTCATAAAGATCCTATTTTACACAGTGGCTACAGATATATTCAGAAAGTGATGAATTTGGTGGAGAAAAAAATATGCAGAAGAGGAGCTTGGGAGTGCTGGGTGGAGGTGTTCTGTTTTTAACAGAACGGTCAGGGAAGACCTTTTCCGAGGTGACAACATTTACAAAGAACTACAGGGGAGCAGAAGCAAGTTGCATGCCTCTGTGGAGAGAAAGCATTTCTGAAGGGAACGCAGCCAGCTGCCATGAAGGCTGCAGGGAGGCAGGATGTGTCTGGCGTGTATCAGGAAGAGGGAGGAGAGGAGGGGCTGAGGGGAATGGTAGATGCCAGTTACTTCTGAGGCCACATCCCATCGTCTTTCCCATCCTGCCAGGTGACGCTGCTGGACTCTGCCAGCTACCTGGGATACAGAATGAGCAGGATGCAAAGCCTGTGGGCTTAGTGCTCTGTCGCTCACAGGCAGGGCAGCAGGGGTGAACAGCACTCGGGGGCGGAGGCAGCGTGTGCAGGCTGAGGACCCGTGTGTGGGAAGGGCTTCTCCAGCCAGGTCCCTCTCTTGGTCCCGGTAACAGCGTTGGTGCGGAAGGGGTGCTAGGAATTCAGGGAAGGACTTGGGTCACTGACCCCCTTCAATGAGTTATTTTTTCTCTCCTCTTCCCAAACATGTTCACTATCTTAACCACAAAACAATAGTGAGAATATGAATAGTAATAGACTAGCAACACCGGTCTAATGGCACTTACTGGGAGCTAGTGTGAAAGGAACTCTGATAAGGGCAACATAAATATTATCTCATTTGAGCACATCTGTTCGGTTCCCTCCATATACAGCCTAGTACTGTGTCTGGCCCAGTACTAGGGGGGTGCTCGGTAGATCTCCTCTGAGTGAATTAATTTTTCTTCTAACACTTATAAGGTAAGTATCTCATTTGCCCCTTTTATAGACATCCCCTGTCATGAAGTTTAAGTATATTTTCAAGGACACAAAGCTAGGAAGTAGCAGAAGTGGGATTTGAACCCAGGTCTTTTTTTTTTTTAAGTTTTCTTAAAAAGAGATTTTATTTATTTGTTTTTAGAGAGAAAGGAAGGGAGTGAGAAAGAGAGGGAGAGAAACACCAACATGTGGTTGCCTCTCATGTGCCCCCTACTGGGGACCTGGTCCACAACCCAGGCTGGTGCCCTGCCTGGGAATCAAACCAGCAACCCTTGGGTTTGCAAGCCAGTGCTCAATCCACTGAGCCACAGCAGCCAGGGTGAACCCAGTGCTTTCTGACTCCAGAGCTTTGCCTGCCACTGTGCAGCGCTGCCTGTCAATATGTCAGGTGAGGTGTCCCGTTGCTGGATCCCCCTGGTTCTGGGCACAGCTGTGGCACAGGAAAGAGTAGATGCCCAGGTGCTCAGGTGAAGGGCCCTCTTGCTTCCCTTTCACAATGATCTAACCTCTTAGCTCTGGCTTCTTTATCTGCAAATTGTTAACCCTAATGACAGTGTATGGGCCCCTTATAAGAAGATAATAGAAGCGTGTATTTGTAACTTACCGAGTTGTAAACAAATGTTAAGGGAGCCATTATTTTTTTAAAGTCCCTACTGCTAATAAGCATGAAAAAAGAAGTGCACAGAAGTTCACAGATAAATATTACCAAATACGGAAAGAAAGGTTTAGTATACCAGGTGCTGCCAAACTTTCCGCGAAAAGGCCAGATAACTTACATCTCCAGCTTTGTAGGCTATAAGGACTCTCAGTTGCAACTAATGAACTTGGTGTTGTAGTGGGAAATCAGTCACAGAAAATATATATACAATAGGTGTGGCTGTGTTTTATCTATAAAAGCAAGTGTTGGGCTGTAATTTGCTGACCATTGTGTTTGAGTAGGGTGTGTGTACACGGACATGCACACACATGTACACATGCATGACTTGGGTTTTGTATATCAGGTAGTATTCTAGGGAAATCACCTTTAGAGAACAATCTTGGGCATAGGGGGCAACTAAATGTATAATATAATTAATACCCTCCAAAAGAGACACATAAAAATTGAGTATGAGCAGACTCAGCCATCTGGTAGACCTGACTTTTTCTGAGCAGACATTCCTGTTTTGACCCCTAATTGCCACATGGGTGATTTTGATTCTATCGCTGTACCCAAGCAGTGCTGGATGGTCTGTCTAGGCATCTGATTCTCCTTATTCATCTTGTTACTTCCCTTGCCCTGTAGGGGTTTGCATTTGTGACACAAAGGATTCCTATTCTCAACCACCTAGATGTGACTCAGTAATTAAGTAACTAGGTATCATAGGTGTGCTTCACTGTACTCACACACTTCAGTGGAGTGTTTTTCAAAGATTTTGTAAGTGACTGCCTCCACCAAATATTTTACTCTGATTCAGCTCTCCTGGATGTGGGTTTTGTCTCCTTCTACTGAAGTGTGAACAGCCGGCGATGAGTGAGATTGTTTATCATCTGGCTTCCTGTGCGTGCCGGACAGCAAGATCCTTGAGCCACAGGGGCAGTTGTATTTGTGCAAGATCACATTTAGCCTGCACGGAAGGAAAATGCTGTTTACACACCTCTGTGTCTTCCTCCTAAGGTCCTTGGTGACAAGAGAAAAATTTGTTTTGTTTTGTTTTGAAAAATAATCCATTCTAATACCTCTCCATATCCTGATGAATTTTAATAAATTTGCATTCTCGCAGATAGGATATTCTCATCAAAAGAGAATGCAAAGTGTGGATTATCTTCCCATAAGGGTCAGTTTAGCAAGGTAGAGTGAAAATACCAATGCAAACTCACTATCATTAAACACACCCCCGACTTACCTGGGAAGCAGTGATGAGCATTCTGAGAGATGAGTCACTACATACTCATTTTCACACTGAGATGTTAATGCTACATATCTAAATAGTCTGCCATAGTAAGACTTTTTAGCATTGATGATATTCAAAATTATTTTTCCTCACCTGATCATGTCCTTGCAAACAATTTGTTTGAAGTTATTAAAACCAATGCTTCATGGATAAACATACTGCAATATACTCATATGATAGAATACTACTCAGCAGTAAAAAGGAATGGGCTATTTTGAAAATAAGATTTTGTTTATTTACTTTTAGAGACGGGACGGGAGGGAGAGAAACATCGATGTGGGAGGGAAACATAGATCCTTAACTGGGAACTTGGTCTGCAACCCAGACATGTGCCCTGACCAGGAATCAAACTGGAGACCTTTCAGTTCACGGGCTGGCACTCAACCCACTGAGCAACACCAGCCAGGGCTAAGAGGAATGGACTCTTTAGACAGAAGACGCCTTGGATGGATTTCAAGGGCACTGTGCTGAGGGAAAGGTTCCAGCATCAAAAATTTGTACACTGTATGAGTCCATTTAGATGATGTTCTGGAAAAGATGAGACTGTTCTGTTGGTAACAGATGACTGGGCGCCATGGGTTGGGGCGGATGACTGACCATAGTGGGAGAGCAAAAGGGGTTTTTGAGGGTTGACAGAACTGCCCTGGACCATGTTTGTGGTGTTGGTTACACATAAGCAAATGTGTTAAATGTCACAGCACTATATATGCATAAAAAACAATTTTACTGTGCTTTATTTAAAAAAAAAAAGAAAGACTCAGAGTGCTTGATTAGGCTTCTTTCCAATGGGACATCACAAGGAAAACTTCTAAAGATAGTGGGATACCGAGAATTCCTGATGAGAAAAATATTTATCCTTTTTTTTTTTAAACAAAAACTCACTGATGTGGTTACACCATTTACATGGAAGATGCAAACAATGCACATTTTACTCAGTGAGTGATCCCCGAGGCTCTACACCGGGTGTAGGGGGAGAGTCAGTTACGTGTCTCCCAGCAGCAGGAACCCGGGCCTCCTGGGCCCAGGTGGCATTTTTGTTCTTCTTCATGGTGACTGCTTCCCTTCCTCACTGTATATATATATGGCGTGTGACAGTTATGGTGGCTGTGGGAACCATAACTTTAAGTTCTGTAACTTTTCTGTGAGTGAAACCAGCCGAAAGCCGAAATGTTGAATTCATGTCACGCTTCACATTTAGTTTCCGTGTTGTTGTAAGTGGAAGACTTATTGCACGTTTGAGTAAAAGCTCTGCACTCATTTTTGATAGCACAGAAGTGCCGGTGGTTACATGGACTAATTGTGCCACTTGATTAAGGTCATCAAGTGCAACGAGGCCAGCTTGGGAGAATGTAGATGGGAGCCAGTCTCAGGGGTAACACCGTTGGACCACAGATGATTCCAAGCCACCGTGATCCTCGGCTAATAGCCATTCACTCAAACCAGGGATTCTGATCCCAGCACCAATAGTCTTGTGACATTGCCTTCCAATGGCAGTGCCTTCCAAGTCAAACATCGATTCATTTCACAAAACTGGAGACACTACTGGGGCTGTGCAGGCTTTGGAAGCTCAGACAAGCAGAGGTTTTTGTCAGCCCTGTAGGTGGAGGCCTGGTTGGGCTTTTCTGGTTTTGAAAATCAGGCAGGAGAGGAATTCCTAAGCATCTGGAAATAATAATAACCTGTGGTGTCAAAGGCATGAGAACCCTTTGACATTGGAGGAGTCGGGTAAGGTTCTGATGGTCATCACTAAGTGGTCTTCAGTTCTGCCCAACCACGTAGGTGGCTTTTTACAGGTAAAGCAGATGGGAGATACTAAGAACCGGGATCAGGGTGTGTTTCGCAAAGACCTCCACTGCCTCCTTTCTTGTCTGCTAACAGGTCTAGCCCCACATCGAGAGTGAGGGCTCTTCTCCTGGTGGACCAGTGTGGTTCCTTCAGGATGCTCCAGTGAGCAAAGAGCTGGGGCTCTGAGAGAAGGGTCAAAGGGTCTGAACTCCCCTGTGACCCTGTATGAGTTCATCTGAATGAAACGAGATGTATTCATGGTCAAGGGGCATTAGACCTGGGAGAAACAGGCAGGTGTGAAGAACTTTCAGTGCCTCTCTTCTTCCCGGTGAGGGCTTGGCGGGCCCCATGTGGTCTGGGCTCTTTTCTGTCTGGTTGCAGCATTTCTTGCTCTCACTGCATGCAGTGAGGTAGACCAGCAAGCCCTGTTTGTCTGCAGCTGTCCACCCTCCCTCTGGGGGGCTGAGGAATGGCCCTCCTGCTTGGAAACACAGGTTCTCTCATGGCCTGAAGCTCCACCTGAGATCCAGGCAGGATCTCCAAATTGTGCAAGGACCTCCCTGATGGTCACTGTGAGTGGGAAGGACTGAAGCCCGCAGTGCCTCTGGTCCTCGCTCCAGGCCCCAATGGTTCCTGATCATCAGCAATGTCTGCTGGCGTGCTTCAGGTCTCTAAATTTGCCCATTCCTTTGGAGCTACCCAGCCTTCTTTGGAGAAAGAAATCAGCCCTGGCTAATGAGAGTGGCAAACCAGAACATCATCCAAATGTGGTGAGGCCATTTATTCATTTCCATTCCACACTCTACCCTTCTCTGCAGGCAGCCCCCCTTATTTCCTATTCAGAACCCCCCCAAACTCCCAGAGTGCCTCTGGACCCTGGGTTTGTGCAGTTCAACGTGAACCAGTGGCGATGTCTACTGGATCCCACACTAACTGCCGAATCACGCACATTGCATTGCCCTGCAGAATCATTTCCTGAGCATCTGAGGAATATTTAAATTAGGAGACATGGACACCTCCCATCCTGAGGTCATTTGTTCAGAATATGTATTTCCTACTCTTTGGGTGGTGTGTGGTTTGAGAAAGAACTTTCAGATCCCACTTTGAAATGTTTCCTCTGTCGTGAACAAGCTTGGTTCTCTGGGTCCTGAGCTGCCGTCTCCTCTCGATGGCTGGAGGCCAGGCGGGCCCACCCTGGGAGGGACCTAGCAGGATGGCCCTGTTGCTCCCGCTAAGTCTTGGGTGAACTGGGGGTGTGAGAGTAGCCCAGCAGGAAATCAGAATCAGCCTTGTCTCTGCTCTGATCAATGACTAAGTTGGCAGAGGCCAGATAGAGGCCACTCTGAGTCAGTCTTTAATTGCCAAGACTTGCCACACATGCGGGAAGATGGCCGAGCACCAGAAATTGAGTATGAAAATGACGGCTTCCCACAGGGGACAGACCTGATGCAGGATTTTCTTATCAGTTGATACATTTTTTTGCTTTTTAAAAAAAAAAAGCCGGGTTATTTTATTTTTGTTCTTTCTGTTACAGAAGCTGTGTGGAAGTGGAGATCTTAATGCTTCTATGACATCCCAACACTTTGAAGAACAATCTGTGAGTGACATCTCTTTAAGGCAAATAAATGCTCAAGTCAATATTATAAATATTCCTCGCTACCCATTCGGACCTGCAGTTCTTTGCCTCGTTTATTTCTCAAGAATGCTCAGCTGTAGCCACTTACGAAGACAGGCCTTGCAAATATTAGCTGGAAAAGATAAATTCAGTCCCTATCGATTTGTGAGCCTGGAATAGATTCTTCTAAAAATACAGAGAAGCTATAAAATTGAGTGATTTAGTACAGGAGACAAAGCCATTTTGAAGTGCTTTGAGACTCGGATGGGGAAACTTTCAGAAGAAGGCTGTCAAGGATGACCTAGCCACAGGATCAATGAACTTGAATGTCAAATAGATGAACAATGAATGATTTCATCGGTCCTTTCTCTTTGGGATGACAAACATTTGAACTGAAAGCCTGGTTCAAAACTTTAATTGCATTCATTTAATAAATATTCTAAAGTAGGCCTGAATTGGAAATGATGGCGTATAGGAGTTGATGCGTATCTGGAGGGAGAAGTGAGCTGTTTTGAGGGCAGTGAGGCTGTGAGGGCACATGTAAGATGCACCCAAGTGGGGGCCAAGGAAGGAAAGTATATAAAAGACGGGGAGGGCATTGGATAGAGACAGAGTGCGTCCCGTGCGGGACACAGACAAGGGCCAGGTGCTGGGTGGACGTTCAGGCTCAGTAGGCTGTCTGCGGAGTGGTTTTGTACAAAAACGTTTTTCTTACACATGGATGGGGAGTTCCAGAGTTGATGGGGGGCTGGGGGAAGGAGGGAGGAGAGGGAGACATTCTGCATCTGTGTTTGGAAACACAGACACCTGTTCATGGGAACAGGCCCCCCCCCCACACACAGCTGAACCTTTGTACGTCTCTTCCCCTCCCGGGACTCCACCAGGAGTGACTGATTCTTTATTAAAGATTCCTGCCCTCAGCGAATGGCGTTCAGGGAGATCCAGATGCTGGCATGGTACTCATTCCTCTTGGAGAGTTCACACAGTGAAGACATTTCCCAACTGCCTCTGCATTCTGTTAGAACCTCTCTGGGGAGAAATACAAAGAGCATGTTTTCCATGTGGCATAACCAAGTTGTCAGAGTGAGTGGGAGTTCACAGGTGACGACCGGCCATTGGAGTGACCATCCTCTTCCCTTTACATTTAGAAGTGTTTCTGAAATTCTCTCCTGAGGGGCCCAAGGCCACTGACTTGACTTCTCCATCTGTGCAGGCCCTCGGGGAGGCCAGCGACGGCCTGAGTAACCTCCCCAGCCCTTTCGCCTACCTCCTCACCATCCACCTGAAGGAGGGCAGGAACCTGGTCATCCGGGATCGCTGTGGTAAGGCCTAGCTCTGCTGCCTTCTTTGTAGCTGCAAACCTTTTTTTTTTCTCTCTAGCCTTGTAACAATGTGGTTAGCTGGCTTTTTCTATCTCAGCATGGTTTGCAACAGACAGGACCCCAAGTCTGAGCCTCTCTAGGAACCAGGGAATTTGCAACAAATTATTTAAACACACCGAACCTGTTCTGGCTGGTGTGGCTCAGTGGACTGAGTGCTGGGCTGAGAACCAAAGGGTCTGCGGTTCGATTCCTAGTCAGGGCATGTGCCTTGGTTGTAGTCCAAGTCCCCAGTAGGGGCCGCTTGAGAGGCAACTACCCATTCATGTTTCTCTCCCTCTCTTTCTCCCTCCCTTCCCTCTCTCTAAAAATAAATAAAATCTTAAAGCAAAATAAACACACCAAACCTTATTACCTTTTACTGTTATTAAATTAATAATAACAGTAACAATGTTACTGTTATTAATAATACCATCGTTACTGTTAATAATATTAATATTAATGATATTAATAATATCATTAACAATGATAATCAGCACCACGTATAGTTGTTTTAAGTGAACTAGGGTCACCGTAATAACTCAATGCCCAGCACAAGGCAACTGCGGAAGAGAATGTATCATCACTGATACATTTATAGCAGACGCCTAGCAGACAGCCAGTCAGCTTAGCAGTTGATGAAGAAGGCACCGTACACATCAACACAATAACCAAAACAACGCAGTTTGTGTGCATTGCTTCCTATCTCCCTGTTTTAGCACCAAGGAGAGGCCACAGTCCGCGCTCTCAATTCCAACCATTGTCATCTCTTACCGGAGTCAACACATATCACAATCTGGCTTTATCTTGTATAAACCCAATCTAATCCAAGTATAAATGAGGAGTTTATAAATGGTGCCATCCCAGCACCTGTTTCTTTTATAACCAGTAGCAATTGTTCCTGTCCATTTCCTTTATTGGCAAGATTAATCTTTATATACTAAGAAAACAGCCCTCTCCCAGCAAGTTCTTTTTCTGTACGTTGGGGGTGTGTGGCGGGTCTCCTTATGCTGTGACTGTGTTGATTTCTGAGGGTATGTTTGACTGCTCACTGTAGGTTTAGGCAGGAACTGATGTTATTTATCAGGGCAGCAATAGTTTCTATGGAGCCCCACCCAGCCTGTAAATTTTATCCGACACAGTCCTTTGGACCAGTAGTTCTCCCACTTGAGTGAGCATCTGAACAGCCTGGCAGGCTTTTGGAAATACGCATTGCTCACACCCAGAGCTTCTGATGCAGTAGGTCTGGGGTGGGGCCCGGGAGTTTTCTTCACTAACAAGCTTCCAGGTGTTGCCGATGTAACTTGGGCTGCTCTCATGTTCTCAAAATGAGCCTTATCTGAATGCAGTGAATGGTCCAGATGCAGCCTGAGCCCAGGTTCTTGAGCCATCTCTACGAGAGAATAATTGTAGTTCAGCCTGCCTCTTTCTGCTCTCAGTTACTGCCTGTTGCCTGTCTGTGGGTCTCTGTCTCCTTCTCCTTATCATCTTATTGTCCTCTGCTCTGTTTTTCTCCCCCGCTTTCTTCCTTCTAACTTCCTCCTTTTGTACCTATTCTCCCTTTCCTTCCCATTTTCTCCTGGGGGTCTCTGCAAGATGTATTGCTTTTGACCAAGCAAGACAGACACACACCTGCTTTAAGTTGACGATCTGCCCTTGTCTAGTAACTCTGGGAGCACCTACATTTTGACATTGGTCAAGCAGAAAGAACCTGATATGATGAATCGATCTGAAGTCCAACTGCTTTATAACTGGGCTGGCCATAGTGGGAGTTGAGTGCTGGCTCAGTCTCCTGCAGAAGGGCACGTGTCTTAGAGCTGCCCTGCTTTCTAGGCTTGGCATGAGCACCACTTTGTGATACAGGAAAAGTGCTCAGCTCCCCTTAAATCCCAGAGCATCAATTCCTGGGAAACAAGAGCCCTTGCATTAGAACCCTGTATTTTCTCTTACTGTCAAGGCACTGAGAGAGCAGCATCCTGCTGTGGGCCAGTGGAAGCCTGTGTTGTGGGTGCCCTCTGGTGTCCACTTTGCAGTACTGCAAAAGGGAAAGAAGAGTTTGAAGGAGTTCAATGTCATTGACCTGGGTTGCAAATGGGAAAATGGAGGGTTGATCTGAGTTTTAGGCCATGAAAATTCAGGATCGATTCTTCTAGCAAACTGTTCTCCCTCTGCATTGCCAGCACAGGTTTGTTTGTAGAACACATTACAGGAAGAGAGCATTTATAGGAAGAAGTCATTTCCCTGTTTGGAAAGAATGGTTTAGACAAAAGGTTTGAAGATCTCCCACTACGCTGAAATTTCTGCCATCTATAGGTGTTTAGTGAATTGCTGAACTGCTACAGAAATGCTCAAATGTCAGGTACCTCTGATTTCAGACCTGTTTTCCTTTTGCTATTTAATAGGCTAATTGTTATGGTTATACATTTCTTCTTTAAAAAGAAAAGATACTCTTATTAGACCTAAAGAGAAACATAGTTTCTTCCTTGCAGCTGCCAATGGAAGACTGTCCACATGTATAGAGAAGTTTTAGCAGAGTTTATTTGAGCCAAAATTTTGAGGACATGCCAGGAAACAAAATTTCAACGGATTAAAAAAATGCTCTAGAGAATGACAGTTTTGCAGTTTCCTCTATATATTTATACTCAAAGGAGAAGACATAAGAAATGTATATGAAATCCATCAGTGGTAGGAGAAAGCAAAACCCAGACATCTCCAAGATTGCAGAAAAGGCAGAACGGAGAAACACTTCTTTTACCTGTGGATACAGGATAGTTAATAACTTACGATTATGGCACAAAGAGATGTATTTGGGGAACAAGATGACAATGGGGGTTTTTGTGGTCTCTGTTCTGGTGCCTGCGGTCAGGCCTTCCTGGGGTCTAGAAAAGAAAATGACTCTGACATTTCAAAGGTGTGTTATCCTAGATGTATAAGAGCAATGGGCAGGCCTGGTGTAAGGATGGACCTTTGTCAAGGAAGCTATAGGCCTGGAATATGACTCCTGCCTTGGCTTGCCAAGTTCAGAACTTATGATCAGACTATCCTGTGTGTTTACTTTTGGTCTACGAGCATTTCAGGCCTGCCCGGTGGCCCCGTTGAGCTTGTCAGGTTTGTTATTACATAGCCCCTCTCATTCACGCAGATGTAACTGAGGGGCAGATGGGGGTGTTTCTAGATGGAAAAGCAGCCACACAGCTTGCCGGCAGGTGGGTTGTGAATGGGCTCGACCGAGGGACCTATTCCCTACCCTTCAGGGGCGCTCTGTCCAGCTTGGGCCAGCCTGTCTGCAGTCTCTTGCATTTTTTCTGCTGTTCCCAACAAAAATGATCACTTTGTGTGTGTGTGTGTGCCATGCTGTGAAGTGACAAGGGGGCACTGGACGCCAGGTAAGGCTCGTAGAATCTGAACCCAGACCACCCGGGTTTGAAGACCAGCTCAGAGACGATCTAGCAGTAACTGTGAAGATCAACCTGGGGTTTGTGGGCTGGGGGTGGGATGTGGAGACTTCTGGGGACTTGTGGGAACATGCGTGGGGTGCAGGGTAACATAGCAACATACAGTCACTTTGTTTATAATGTTTTTGTGTGACTATCTCTTTAAGCCTTGCAATTCTATTCCAGAGGGCTTCTTCCTTTTTTTTTTTTTTCTTTTTACCCAGAAAGGCCTTTTCTATCTTGAGAAAGATGCACATTAACCTATATCTATTCTCTTTCCTGTGGAGTTTGGCATTTTTCATGTATCTCTTGGACCTGCCCAAGTGTATTCAGATTTCTGGCCCAGAGTAGGAACTTAGTTTTACTTTTTTGCCAAATGACCATTTGATTAACTAGGACTAAACTTTCCTTTCTCTTTATATTTTGATGCCACTTTTCAATTTCATATTAAAATGCAGTGCTTCTTGGGTTTCTCTTTGATTCCTACGGTTGTGTTGTTTTGCTCACGTGCCAGTTTAGGTATATCCAAAGGTCACCATCAGTGCTTTTTATTTAGCAAAAAACTGGGATTGGGGTCACACTGGAGTATCATCTCTGGCCACCAGATGGCGGGAGATCACTGGATGTCGTGAGAAAAGAACAGAAACACACACAACCAACATACCACAGATTGGTCACCCAAGAGTCAACCTGAAACTCTCCAAGATGCAAACACCCACGATGAAACACAGCTAGTGGTTGCTTCTTCTCCACTCGTTGAGTTTTGGCAGCCTGCTCAGGTTCCACGGCAAACAAGGGGAGCTGGATTTTGAAAACTGTTTCTTTTTAGTCCCTTCCCGTTCTGATTGAAATCATCATCATTTGGCCCTGTCTGTCCTAATAGCCTTTCATGCGTCCCCACCACTGAGCTGTTTTGCCTCTGGAGATTTTTGCGGCTGGGCTTTGCTGCGCGGCTGTGCATCCTTGTGGGTTGATGAGAAGGTCCCGAAGCTCTCTTGCTTTATAGAGTCAGTTACCTCTGGCTGCAGAGGGATTTATCCCAATTCCCATGAAGTACCCTGGAGCAAAACTGGCCCATTTCCCACGTCTGCTGCCTGAAACAAATCGCCTCACACCCAGCCCAGGCTGATTGCCTTGAACTTAACGGAGCAGGTCTTCCATTTGGGTGAATGGGACTTCTTGGTCACGGGTGGTTCTATCAGTTGTTCATTTCTGTACCGATAGAATGATATGCTGGGTTCCAGGTAGTTATTTCTACTCACTGTGCTTCATTGTGTGTGATGTTGACGTGGCGTGTTCTGCTTCAGGGTGTGGGCATGTTTTACACAGAGGGTGAGACACACAGAGGGTGAACCCATGCATTTCCACGCGTCCCTGGCTTCATTTTGATTTTAGCTACAGCACCAGGCCGTGGGTTCTCTCCTGCCATTGTGCCTTAAACATTCATAACATGCGAAGTTTGAGGCCAGGTGCTACATTGATGACTCTCTGGCTTACTATTATCTTCCCTTTTCCCCTAACTCTTTCTAA